TTCTGTTTCATTGGTGGTAATTGGTCAGCTCAGATTTTCTGTTTCTTCTTGACTCAGTCTTGGGAGATTGTATGTTTCTAAGAATGTGTCCATTTCTTCCAGATTGTCCAATTTGTTGGTATATAATTGCTTGTAGTATTTTCTTATGATCCTTTGTATTTCTGTGGAGTCCATTGTTATTTCTCCTCTTTCATTTCTGATTTTATTTATTTGAGTCCTCTCTCTTTTTTCTTTGATGAGTCCGGTTAAGGGTCTGTCATTTTGTTTATTCTTTCAAAGAACCAGCTCTTGGTTTCATTAATCTTTTGTATTGTTTTTCTAGACTCTGTTTCATTTATTTCCACTCTGATCTTTATTATTTCCTTCCTTCTATTTACTTTGGGCTTTGTTTGCTGTTCTTTTTCTGCTTCTTTTAAGTTTAAGATTAGATTATTTGAGCTTTTTCTTGTTTCTTGAGGCAGGCCTGTATTGCTCTGCATTTCTCTCTTAGGACTGCTTTCACTGTGTCCCATAGATTTTGAGTCATTGTGTTTTCATTTTCATTTATCTCTAGGTATCTTTTGATTTCTTCCTTGATGTCATTGATTACCCATTCATTGCTTAGTAGCATGTTATTTAGCCTCCATGTGTTTGTGTATTTTCCAGTTTTTTTTCTGTAGTTGATTTCTGGTTTCATACCATTGTAATCAGAGAAGACGATTGATATGATTTCAGTCTTTTTAAATTTATTGAGACTTGTTTTGTGTCCAAACCTGTGGTCTGTTCTGGAAAGTGTTCCATGTGCACTTGAGAAGAATGTATATTTTGCTGCTTTGGAGTAAAATTCTCTAAAAAGATCTATTAAATCCATCTAAGACCGACTTCTATTTATATTCATTTTTTATAAATACTTGATAATTCCAGTTCAAAATATTGCCTTTTTAGAGTTGGCCATTTCCTCTATCTTTACATTCTAATTAAGCTCACAAACTAAAAAGCAGTTAAACTCTTAATATGTACTCATTGGCATTTCCAGTTATCTATTGAGTTATTTTAATTTAAACACCTCTTACTTTGGCAGTTTCATCATCTTGGCTATATTTGTAAGATGTGACATTTTATCTGAAGTGGAACAATAACGAGCCCATGTTAAACATTAATCTAGCCATGATAAGGAGCCATGTTAAACCAAATGGCTAGCAGCAGGAAGAAGAAAGGATCTTGTTTTAAAGCCTACATACTCTAGTGAGTGAGTGAGTGAGTGAGTGAGTAAATCTAGATACTCTACAGGTGGCATCCCCTTCCCCTAAAAAGAAGGAAAAAATACAGTAATAAACCCATCATTTCAACCCATATGGTCTCTTTCATATCTATTAAAACAGCACTCGATCCCAGCATTTTAAAAAAGTGTTATTTCTTTTGCTTGTCTTGAGTCCTCTTTGAACAAGGGCTGAGAATCAGTCTCACACTGCAGTGGAGGTGAGTGTGCTTCAGAACTCCTGGAGGCAGGGGTTGATAGGCAGGTAGGGAGGACTCCCATCGTACCTGAGGAGCTTGGACTTTGTCCTGTGTGCAGCTGGGATTGTGAACATTGTGAGTAGGGTAGTGGCCCGATGAAAGCCTTCTTTGTGTGGCAGTCTGTATGCTGTCTGTGTGAATCTGGAAACTGAGAAGCATTTTGCACACATTAGCCAGATGGTGCAGCTCATGCCTGTCCTTCCCCACCTAAAATTCCACTCTCCAGCAAAAGCTACTTAGAAGCTATTTACTTTCTGAAGTGACACATTTCTTGTTTAGAAAAAAAAGTCAGCCCACTGCTAGTGTTAATTTTACTTAAACACACTCTTTGAGGCTGAAGCAAATCTGACTGGTTTTCAATGTGAAAATAAAATATAAAAACTATTCTTGGAGTTATTTCTAAACAGAACTTGTTTCTAACCCTAATGTAACAGAAACGTATACATAAATTGGATTCATCAAATGAATCTTCAGCTAAAACTGTTCTGGAATGATGTTAATATCACGCATAGGGATGCTGCGTTTTCTAGGATTTGACATTTTCAGCAATTAGGAATTACTGTATTTGGTAAATGGAAATACCACTACTAAAACCAGAATGCAAATGTCATTTGCTTCCAAAGACTATCAATATACTAGAGCGATGAGAAAATAATAATAAAAGCGAGATATTTCGTGGCAAATTTTGGGGGTAAAGTTAAGATGGTAATCCACGAGTTATCTCGGGGTAAACGCTGCAGCCGCAAGCACTGCCAGTGAGTATTCTCCGGGCAAATGGGAAATGGGTTAAACACTGGTAAGGTGGTGAGAAATAGCATTCTGAAAGATATTTAAAGGGAAAATAGGAGACCTGGTGGAATTGGATAGGAATGAAAAACAACCCGTGTTCTTTCCGTAGTGTTCCCTGATGGCAAGTTTATCCTTGATCAGAATTATACAGGTGAGGTGAGTGAGGCTCCCCGCACCCCTGGCAATCTGTAGGAAAGCTATTACCTACTTTTGTCTGGGCATGGTTTATTTGCCAGTAAAAGAAAAAAGCATTCTGGTAACTTAGCCTTAGTCTAATAGAAGTTTATAATAATCAAACAAAGTATTCATATTAATTTTGACTTCCAAATAGATTTCAACTGAATGATGATGATTTACAATTTATTAAGCTCTTATTAAGTACTTTAAACTGAGATAGGCATATTACATAGATTATTTTTTTTAATTCTTTTAATCCATGATTGCCAAAATACAAAAAGATAAAGTGACATTTCCTTTGAATTCCAATTATCAGACATAACCACTGTTAATGTTTGATTTATATACCTCTAGGCTCATTTTTTAGCATTAGATGTATAAGTATATGCACACCAATACATATTTTTAAGAACATTGGATCAATATTATACATATCATTTAGTAATATATTTTTCAATTAATATATCCTGCATATCTTTTCCTGTCAACTACATAAAGATCTCTCTTATCCTTTTTAACATTGCATAGTATTACATTGTATGTACCATAATTTATTTAACTCATTTCATATGGTAGACTTTTAGGTTCTTTTTAGTTTGGGGCCATTATAAACAGTCATTCAGTAGATATCCTTGACATTTTTGAACACTTGCTCTATTATTTCCTTAGAATAAACTCCTAGAAGCAGAATGTTGGTTTAAAGCTCACCAACTTTGCTAGTTGTACTTTAAAAAGATAGTTTCAATTTATACAGCATTATTAGCATTTGAAAGTACTCATTTCCCCCAAACCATTTTCTCTGCCTGTCTTTAGACATTACTTTTCATTTTTGCAACAATCTTATAAAGTAGATATTGGTATGTTCCTCTTAGAGATTAGAAAGCAAAACGAAACCCTGAGACGTCAGGAAGAAACTTGCCCAAGATCACAGAGCTGGTCAATGATGGTGCTAGGGTTTGAACTAGCCATTTATGGCTTTGAAACTGGTTGTTGGTCTACCTCTCAGAGCTAGGAAAGTCATTTTTATCTAACGAAGTGTGCATTAGGCTCATATACATTTGCTAAGCTCACTGTCTCCTATCTAGCCATTGACATTTTATTTTACGATCCCCCAGTATCACTGGACTAAGCAAACAGGGCCATCTGTTCAGTCTCTAAGGCTGTTCCTTTGGGCGTTGTCCATAGTTTTAGCACACGTAGGAAAGCTATTGATAATCTTGGATGGTGAGGTCATTAGATTCTATCAGGTGAAAAACTCACCAGGCATCTGGTCCTCACCTGGAGAAGAGCAAGGGAGAGCCTTCTTCCACATGCTATTTAAACAGTTTTTCTACATGGCCTCTGTTTAGCACAGGGACTTAGGTTTCCTTATCAGTTAGGTTTTTCAGTGTGAAGTTGGAACCGTGGGACTGAATATAGCTGAGGAAAGAAGAGCTAGTAGGGAGAAGAAAATAGGAGAAGAGAACAGTTGTGATATAAAGAAATACAGCCAGCATGGCAGTGGGCTTCAGCTTTGTAAATGATTACTCTCATCCCCCAGGAGAACCAGAGAAAACATCCATTCAAGAATCGGGAGCATTTTTGCCTCAGGTACAGAAAAATGATCTGATTTGGTATTGCATTGTATGCCTAGTATCTGTGGAGAACACTGACTTCTTTAAAAATATTTATTAAGAATTTTTAGTGACAATAATAGGATTTTGAGAGTGCTATTCTCCTGAAGTAGATTGCATTAGTGAACTTTGGAACGTAGGAAAATTCCAAAGTGGCACTCTTTTTTCAGCTGAGTGATTACATGACAGATAAGTAAGCAGTGGCACTTTGACCTATTCTGGCTTTTTCTTAGCCTGAAACTACTTCTTCATAAGGAGGGGCAATAGCAGGTCTCCTTTTGTACTGGTTTGGAGAGGTATGACTTGTACAACCTCAGGTTACTGAGGAAACGTGTGATCCATCTTCTCTCTCTTTTTCAACTTATCTTTATCCTGCAAAGCTAAGACACATGTAAGGAGACTGCAATTTTCATTAAGACTAAATAAAAACTGAAATAGCTTTTTGTCTTAAGCACATTACTAGAACAGAGGAAAAATTTGATATTAATGGGAAATGTCAACTGTGATGTGTTTATTGAGTGACTCACCTGCCAAAGGGATGTTTAAAGAAATCCGAAAGAAAAAATGATACATGGATGGGACCTTGCGAAAATAGCAGTATCTAGAGTCTTTAACAATCCCTGCTTTCTTTTCCAGCACATACCAGAAGAGAGATACAGGATGCAGAGCAAGCCCTTAGGAATCTGCCTGATAATTGATTGCATCGGCAATGACACAGGTTGGTGTGGATGCTGCAGATTAACTGATGCCCCCACAGTAAGATCACGGCACAGGAAAGCTGTATTCATCAGATCGACGCTAGCTTCTGTAAAAAACCAATGCCAAAACCCATGGTTTCAAACAATGAAGGAGATTTTCTCACTCGTGTTACTCATGTCTGGTGTGGCTTGGGCTACGGGGAACTTTATTCCGTGTGGTCCTTCAGTGGCTTTGATGTAGGATAGCACAAATTTCCCCAATTTGGGGTGGGGTGGGGTTCAAGCCCTGCACAGTGAGAGAGAGATTGAGAGAGAGAGGAAGGGAGAGAGAGAGAGACTGTACGAAGGAAAGAATTCAAGGGCATGCCAGAGTTAGAAAGAAAAGAAAAGTTTATTAGAGAAGGGATAATACGCCATAGACAGAATGTGGTCTCCTTGCAGAGACAAAGAGGGAGAGAGCCTAAAGGGACAGAGAGACAGAAAAGACAATGAGAGGGACAGAGACAAAGACACCAAGTGTCTGGGGAATTCAGTTTATATATCATTCTTTAGATTCTATGAATTATAGCTTAAAGACTTTGTTTATCTATTTTTCTTTGATGGTATGGGCATACAGAGTGAAAATAAGTGTATGTAGCATAAAAGGCATGCTAGCCTTTGGTCCAAAAGTTCCCCAAAAGTTTGCCTGTAGGGAATGAATAATTGTATTTGTTTTGTGTAAGACAAGACTTAAAGACTCTGTTTTCCTGCTTATAGACTGTTTTCCTGTTTTCCCTTTACTATGGGTAAATGGTTTGTTAGTAATCGCAGCGGGAATCTTCCTGTTCTACAGGTTTCCTGCCATCTTGCAGAAACACATTGCAGGCTTCGAATATACCTTGATTTAACATTTAGTTCTCTTGCCCCCTCTCTACATTAGTTTCATTATCAGAAGCCTTGGAGTTTTCCACCAGATCTTCTGTATCTGGCTGATAGAGGAAGGAAGTGTGTGGAGGATCCCACAAAAGATTTTAGGAACCAAAGTGGTATGCATCATTTCCACCAACGTTCTTTTGGTCAGAACTCAGTCATGTGGCCCAGTCTAACTGCAGCAGACAAGGATTTAGTCTAGCTGTGTGTCAGAAGGAAACCGAAGGGGGATTTAGGGAACATAGAGCATTGCGTCAGGCACAAAGGTGTAATTTGTGAAAGTTGGTGAGCTTTAGTTTCGTCTTTCCATGCTGGATGCTATGGCAAGCAGGAGTCCTGGGACCCAGAGGGAGGTTTAAAATGGAAGTTTTTCTGGCTTTGATATTATCAGATACTCCATCATTTCACTCAGATAGACATGGAGGACATTAAAAATATGATATGTATGTTCGCTTAGAGTCAATGTGTCACTTAGTTCTGCCACTGTACTTTGGTTGTTGGCCTGAGTCTGTGTTACTTGTGTGTCACCATTGTTTGGATCTGAATTGATTCTTTTACCTGTTGTTGCTGGATGTCTGACTCAAACAGAACTAATCAAAAAAGAATGAGAAGAATCTAGATAAGTGAAATAACATGTTTAATTACCTATCTCTACTTTGAAAGGATTGATTATTATATTTCCAGTTTCCAGCTTCCCAACATTCTCTTAGAATGAGTTAGAACTATCTTTTTGGCTCACTTGTAATGTTAATGTGGTGAGATTTATGGGAAGCGAATCCGAAACAAAGTCAAATTGGTAAATATTAGGCTGGATGTCCCAGGATTTCAGATATGATCTCACTTTCCCATGTCTTATTTTTAGATGCAAGAAATGCTGTTTCCTCAGCAATAGATAAGTGTTCCTTCTTTTATAGACATCAGTACCTATGTAAGAATGAGGACATATTTTCTCAATGAGTAACTTCCTGCTTTAAGAGACTTTGTAATCATCTTCTACTTTTGGTTGTAACCAGTTCTGTTTCATTCATTAGCAGTTCCCAAGTGTACATAGTGCAGGATGTGTATGAAGAGAATTATAAAGATAAAGCCATGATCTGCTGTGAATTTGTGACTACAATCCAGTGTCTGTGTTCGCTTCCCCTGCTGGGTTATGGGCTTCTTGCAGGCAGGGGCTGAATGGGTGTTTGAACTTTTCTATATTTCAGGATGGTCAGAGTTGGGCCCTGGATTATGACTACATGGGTGTGAATCATGGCTCTGCCATGCCCTAGTTTGTGACCTTTGGCAATTTTCCTAGCGCGTGTCTCATTTTCTCGTCTATAAAATGGGTTAATAAAAGGACCCTCTTCATAGGGAGGTTGGGAGGAATGAGTTCATATTTGTAAAGGGCTTACAGCAGTGCCTGGCACAGTGTAAACACATACTAAATACCAACTTGCATTGTTTTTCCAGTTTGTTTAATTTTAGTTGCAAACCACTAAACTAGAGCTTGCATGGCTTTGTGCTTGGTACAAGGTGTCTGATCCCAGACAAGTGAGGGACTAGGGAACTGGGGACCTGAGGCCTGTGCTAGGCTCAGCTGAGCAGAGCAGGTCAGTGCAGGCTGGAGCTAAGTGGAATGGAGGGGACGATATGAAAGGGGGTAACTTCTCAGGAAAGACCCAAGTGGAAAGCTGGGCAGACCACTCCTACCAGTCGTCAGTATGAATGCGCTTGGCAGAGAAAGAGAATCTTAGTACAAAAGCCGGGGCAAGGGAGGGTGGGAAGTAGCAAGACCTGATAGAAGAGAAAGATGGAAAGGAGGGTAGAATTGGAGGTAAAGCCTGAGACACCTGTGTTTTTGGCGTGAGGTAAGAGCAGGTATTGGCCTCAGGTGCATATGTATGTCTGCTTCCATGACTCGAGCCCTTCCTGCCTCTGAGAACAAAAGGAAATCTGGGCTTGAGGCCACTTATACACTTGGGCTCAGGTGGCCAATTGACAGGTAAGAAACAAGACAGCTCAGTTTAGTCCTGCTGTGTTGCAGCTTTTATCAGATGACTGGTCCGGAATCCATTATATGCCCAGCTGAGACTGAGAGCAGCAAGAGAGTGTTAATTAATATGAAGTGGAAGGCACGGTCTCCTCACGCACTCTCTCTCTCTAGACATCCAGCTCTTCATTTTCCCAACTCCCCTCCTGGTGATTTTTCACCGAGAACTCCAGGCCTGGAATCCTGCTGTGGTTGATAGTGGCTTTTAATTAAGTACATCACTTTTCATTTCTATCTGAGCAGCATGAGGACCTTCGTCTAGAGCGCTTTCGTGCGGTTTCCTTTGTCTCTTGCCTGGTTAACTTCGTCATTTGGTTGACGTTGAACATTTAGGAGGAGTTTAGAAGTCTGGTAATAAACATTACTGCCAACTGAAAGAAGGGCTCTGGAAGAAACTAACAGTAATATGATAAGACTAACTTGGGGGTAGTAGTAACCAGAGTGTAAAATTTATTAAAAATCTGCTATGTGCCAGGTACTTCGCTAATTCCTTTGCATAGATTCTCAATCTTCATAAATAATACTGAAAGATAGGTACTATTATCCCCGTTTTCAAGGCGAGCAAGCAGAGCTTGAACTCCCTTCCTAAATTCTCTAGTAACTACTAGAGCTGTGATGTGAAAACTTGACTCCAACTTTGCTGTAATGTAAGTTCTATGAGAGTGGGGAGCTTGTCCATCTCTTTTACTGTGTCTCCAGTACCTTGACAGTGCCTGGCACATAGGAGCCCAAAAAATATCTGGGGAGGATGGTGAATGAATGAAGGAATAAGCTCTTCTAGTCTCAGTGTGTTTCTAAAACCATTCCTTTGTATCTGTAGAGGTTAACAGATATACCAATATACCTTATACCAATCTTCTGTCCTCAAAAAATCAGACTCTTATCCGAAGATATGCAAGTCTCCCAGACATTTATAAATTTGTTCTTCCTTTATCCCATAAATCTTTGTTGCGCGCCTGCCATGTGCAAACACAATGCTTAGCCCTGTGCGAAGCAAATATGGAGGCAGCGAGGTGGAGTCTGATCTCAGAGCCACGTTGTGAACAAAGAGAAGGTGATTTTTATGATGGCTTATTCTTGAAAAGAATCCTTATAGAAGTCAGTAACCTCTTTTTGGAGCAGACATAGAGGCTTAAGGACTTGGGGCTAATTATCAGTTTGGTAGAATTGAAAAATAAGTCCTGGTGTTACGTCCTCTGTGTCAGTGACCTCACAAAGCTAGGCCTGATTCACAGTGCCCTGACAACTTTTGATCTTATTAGAAATGGAGAAGTGAATACCTCACATTACTGATAGATGAGCTCTGGGCCTTGATCTAAAGCTCTGGCTGGTTTGTAGGCCCTTGACTAAAAGATGATGTTTGCAGATTTGAAGAGGAAGTGTTTCTTCCTCTCCTTTTTCTCTCTGGGTTTTTCTGCAAAGCTTGAAGGTTTTTCTGTGCTTTTTAACCAGGCTGACTTCAATTTTTCTAGCAGACACTGCACATTTCCCTTGTAAATCTTGAATAAGCAAACTTCCTCTTCTAAAAGAGCAATAGGAGTTGTGAAAGCCAGAAATAGTTCATGAAGATGCTTTGCAGGTGGTGCTGACCCTTTACTAACAGCCCCTAACTACCACGTAGAGGAAAACCCCCATCGGTTCAGTAAGTTGGTTTCCAAACAATAGTTAAAGTGTACAAAAATAGAGCTGGGTCTGGAGCGGAGTTCTTGGTGTGAGTAGAATGAGATGTCTACAGTTCATAGAAGTTTTATTTTCTACAGTCAGCACCCATGTTTTTCTTCCCCTATTTGCAGGAAAGGACAAGGCAGTTACTGTGCTACGTGGGAAACAGAGTCTGATTGCTTTCGGCCCATTTTAGTTTAGGATATGGAGACCTCTTTCTGGGTTCTAAGGAGGTAGATTCCATGAGAGAGATGCACTACATGCTCTGTGGTTTGTGATTTGAAATGGCTGCTTTTGTTTTCTTTACATTATTATATTTATAAGCATTCAAAGTTTGCAAAGTGTCCTGACAGAAACCTCACTGGATCCTTACAGCCACCTTTTGAAGAACATAGTATAGGCATTAGTATTAATTCCATTTTATAGATGAATGAACAAGGCTATAACTTGTTCAAAGTCACACCGTTACCACCCCCTTGATCCTGTAAATTAGACTGGGCTATATCTGTGTTCTTGTTGGCCCAAGATAGTTGCAATTGCCAGCTAACATCAGCTGCCACGCCACCTCACTATCTGATAGAGGAAAGCTGTGATATTAATGGGAAACGTCGCCTGTGATGACTTCAGGCTGTGTCTCTGGAGTGACTGTGTTGCCAGACGCTGAGGCCTGTCCAGATCTGATACTCTTATTGACCTGTTCTTGGCATTGGGGACCTCTATGGTTTTTGTCTTCACCTCCAGCTTTAGCCTTTTTTGTATTTTATTAGGTAAGGACTTCCTGCCCCAGACCTCAGATTTCCATCCCCTTTTTAGCCTCTCTGCTGGTGTAAGTTACTTCTCTTTCAGGACCAGGCAAAGTTCAGACCCAGCAAATAGAGTGAAGAGCCAGGACTTAAACTCAGATCTCGTGATTCCAAGACTGGTTCTTCTTTTACTCTGTACCATACGGCTGCCTGTTCGCTGCTGCGTGACCGCTGCTGCGTGACAGCTGCTGCTCCAGCAGGAACCTACAGGGAGCCCAGATAAAGGGAATAGATGGACGGCACAGGATAGCATTTGTCCCTGCATATCAGCATGTAAAGACAGGCTGTGGCTTTCTTTCAAGGACTTTGATAAGGGAGAAAATCTATCAGTGAAGAGAGGGTTCGGAGGGAGGTGAACCATTCTGAGATAAATAGCAAGCTTGGAGGCTAGTGTTTCCCTGTTTGCTTCTGCCCCCTAGAGGAGAGAATACTCCATGATTGGATACATGTGAGTTCTGAAAGGAAGCATTTGAAATAAAATAGTGATGGGACTGGGCTCCTAGTCCAGGTTATCTCATTTTACAGTCCAGGTTTCAACCTGACCTCAGTACTGGGTACTGAAGCCTTGCCAATACTCTCAGAGGTGGTGGCCGGCGGGGGAGGGGGGCGCAGAAATACTAGGCCTTTTTTGCTATACTGAGATCCTGTGGGAATAAGTAATTTAACAGGGTATCAGCCACCTGTGTGTCATTTCCTGGACAATACTTTCTTATCATAGAGTTTTAAGGAGATTGGCCTCTTATTTATCTCTTCATTATGGTGTGATATACAGTTCATTTTTTCAACCACAAGTAATGTGGGCCAGACAGAGGAGAAAAGTAACCAGCTTGACTACAGTTATGGTCATTGTCATTTCTTTCTCCTGACAGGAGGAGTCAAAAGACTTATCTGGTGAATTACTTATCTAATAATGTGTACAAATCACTCCAAAATTTAGTGGCTTAAAAGAACGATACTAATATATTTATATCTCGCAGTGTCTGTGGGTCGGGAATTTACAAGTTGCTTAGCTGGGCTGTTCTGGCCCAGTGTCTCTCAGGAGATAGTGGTAAGATGTCAGCTGGGGTTGTTCGACGGCTCACGTGGGATTAGAGGATCTTCTCCCGTGGCTCACTTACGTGGCTGGGAAGTTGGTGCGAGGCCTCCGTTCTTCATGTGGGCATCTCCATGGAACTGCTTGAGTGTTCTCAGGACATGGCAGCTGGCTCCCCTCAGGGTGGGCAGTTCAAAAGAGAAAGAGCCAGAAGGGAGCTGTATCCTTTTTGGGATTCAGCTTTGGAAATCGCATAGTATCCCTTCTGCTGCATTCCGTTCATTAAAAATGAGTTACCAAGTGTGGTCTTCATTCAAGGGGAGGGAATTACTCTCTATCTTTTTAAGAGAGAAGTGTCAAAGAATTCATGGACATATTTAAAAGTGCTATATCTAATAGGATGTGGACCACAGTTAAACCCAGCTCTCCTGAGTGGAAAGTTCTTCTATACCTTATGTGAATGTGTCCAGACACTGTTCACAGGCTGGGCGAATTAAATTCAGAGCACTCAGGCCAGCTCTTCTTTGCCCAGTGGCTGTTATTCCAGCTGTTTGTTTACCCAAGTCTGTGTTTCTTTTCCTACTTTTTATCTTTTTCCTATTTCCTGCCAAGAGGCCAGAAGAGAAATTGTGATTGCTTGCTTTTTCATTTTTATAGTTTGTTAGTGGTCGGTAAAGTTTGCAGGGCAAGAAGGTAGAAATTACTGGTTGAAGCTGTGAGTCTTTGAATTATTTGTGACTGTCCAGACTACAAATGGTTCCCATTTAGTGTAGAGAATTGAGTGTAGTAAATAGTTATGTGATAACTTCAGTTATGTATCTCCCCTTGGTGCTTTTCTGTGATGCCTAAACTGGTAGGAGATGGGACCCCTATGTTCCTTGATGGAAGTGACACCTGTTCTAGTTACTATTGTGTCATTCGGTTTGGGGCGAATGCAGTGGTAGACTTCTGGAAGACCATACCCCAGGGGAGGAGGAGAGGTGGGCATGTAGACATGAGACATGGAACCAAACCTAGAGAAGTTAATAGTCTAATAGTTTATGTGACAACCACAAAGAGGAGATGCTTGCTCAGCCTCTGGGCTCAAGACAGAACAGTTTTTCTACCCCCAAAAGGAACTAAAAACTGAAGGCACCCCTCAGACAAGGAGCATAAACTTAATGGGTGGCTGGAAAGAATGTGGGAGCTCTGAATGAGGAAGAAAAAGATGTCTCTCTTTGCTAATAGATAAAACAATTCAGGAGGCTGTGTTTATTTCTCCAGTGAAGGAGAAATAAAAAACTAGTCAATCCAGGATTCCTGGGAACTAGGAGAAGAACCTTTGGGGACACTGTAGGTCATCTTGGCCAAGGGTTCCCACTGCTTAGTTGGAGGTTACACTGGGAAGCAGGTCATGAGAAGAACTGGAACGTCTGGAAATGCTCACAACTTATATCTTAGGGACCTCCATATCAGTCTGCAGCAGGTGGAAGTAAGGGAACTCATGACATACACCACCCTTTCTACAGCTGTTTGGATCTGCAGATGTATCCATTCCTATGTACTTGTCTATTATTTTAAGAAAGATCTTTTTCTTTCTCTCCCCCCACCCCTCAGAGATTCTTCGGGACACCTTTGCTTCACTGGGCTATGACGTCCAGTGTTTCTCATATCAGAGTATGAACAATATAATTCAGATTCTTCGCAAAGTTGCCTGTATGCCTCAACACCAAGACTACGACAGCTTCGTGTGTGTCCTGGTGAGCCGAGGGAACTCCGAGAGCGTGTTTGGTGTGGATCAGACTCGCTCAGGTTTCCCTTTGGATCACATCAGGAGGATGTTCATGGGAGATGCATGCCCTTCTCTCTTAGGAAAGCCAAAGCTATTTTTTATTCAGAACTATGTGGTGTTAGAGAGCCACCTGGAAGACTGTAGTACCCTGGAGGTAGATGGGCCAGCAGTGAAGAATGTGGAATCCAAGCCAAGGCAACTTGGACCCTGCCTGGTTCATCGAGAAGCTGACTTCCTCTGGAGCCTGTGCAAAGCAGATGTGTCTCTGCTGGAGCGACCCTCCAGCTTACCATCCCAGTATCTCAAGTGCCTCTCCCAGAAACTAGGGCAAGGAAGGTGAGCTACCCAGGCCGTGGCCATCCCTGAACCACTTGTTTATTTTCCTACTACTGATGTGGAGATCACCACTGCCATGTTTGATGCCCTTCTTGGCAGGGAGGAATGGAGATTTTTCATTCCCTGTCGGGGTTGCCTTAGGAGTATGATACAGACCCAGCACAGTGTACAAACGCTTTGTGCTTTAGGAGGTCACTTATTAGTCAGCTTATAATTTGGATATTTTTCTTCAAAATAAAGAAAATTTTAATTGCTTTTTTTCTTATTACAAAAGCAATACATACTCCTTATTAAAAAAAAACAACAACCATGAAATACAGATGCTAAAAGCAGTTATAATCCTACTTATTAGAACCAACTTCTGTTAACCAAATCTTAGTGTATTGCCTTTCAGACCTTTTTTGGTTTCCTACACAATCATATATTAATATATTTTAAGCCAAAATGGAATCATCATCTGCTATTACTTTATAACCTGCTTTTAGTGGTGTAACAGTATATAACATACATTTTTACATGTCAGTAGTCACATTTCTGCAGCATTGTTTTAATGTCTGCAGAATAACCCATAGTATGACTATAGCATTATTTATTGACCAATCTGCAAGTCATTGGACTGTGTTTTGCTTCCAGAAAAAGAAAGTGTTCAACATCTTTGCAGCTCAGTATTTGTGTTTATCTTTAATTGTTTTCTTGGGGAAAGTCCCAGAAGTGGAATTACTTGTCAAATGACGTGCATTTTTAAAATCTTTAATGCATCTTCTCAGATTGTCTTCTAGGACACTTATACCAGTTTTGTATGAGAGGGCCTACGTCCCCAAGTTCTTACAGACACTGCATGCTCTTTTATTTCCCCAAGTCTTGACAATTCGATAGGTGAAAAATGGTACCTGACTGTTCAAGTCTGCAAGTTTTTGTTATATAGACATTTTTCATATTTATTAGCAAGAATACTTTCCTAAGGAAAACTTTGGTCACTTGGTTTCCATTTAAGTGGAATGAAGCCACACTGTACCTCAAATGTAAGATTAATAGTCTTTTTTTTGTTGTCCATTACAATTTAGAATGATGTCTCTGAGCTACCTGTGAAATGTATTTTGTTTGTAGCTCAGGAATAAACCTCATGGCCTGTGACCCCCAGCCCCTCAGTGGGGGTTTGGTGGTGAGGGGGGAACTCCACCTTCAAAGGTGGACACCCTGTGGTCATTGAGCCAGAGTGCTGCAAGCTAGTTTGACTCACTCACGAAGCTGCTTATAGAGTATTTAGAAAGGAACAACTTCAAAGCACTTTCACATCAGTTGGCTCATTTCACCCTGATGATAATCTGTCTCCTCTTTGATATTTCATTTCTACTTTTCTCCTACTCTGCAGAAGACGCCCACTTCTGGAACTCCATATTGAACTCAACAGCAGCGTGTATGATTGGAACAGCAGAGTGTCTGCTAAGGAGAAGTACTATGTCTGGCTGCAGCACACTCTGAGAAAGAAACTCATCCTCTCTTGCACGTGAAAAGCCAACGGCCCTTTTTAGCCGTGCAGTCTATATCCCTAGCTATAGAGCACTTCTCAAGCCAGAGTGTATATGTGTGATGTGAGTGAAGTGAGGTCATGGCTTGTGCTGTCGTGACACTGTGAGGAATGCTTGACAGGAAGGAGTATTTTACTATAGCTTCTGAGGTGAAGATATTGGCCACTATTGCTGAAATAGCTTCCAAGGTCAGTGTTGGGAAGAAAATTTAAATTGTAAATTTAAAAACCGAGTACTGGTTGAATTTGGCATCTCAAGATGATGGTGCTGACCTTTTACCCCACCTGTGTCCATCTTCATTTTGATCCTTCTCCAAGGAGCTGGTATATAACTTAGAGGGGCAGGGCAGGTGCCCAGGCCTAGCTCCAAGCAAGGGGATCAGAGTACACAATTACAGCCAGGAGCCAGAGTCCTTACCATACGCTGCTGACAGAATCCAGAAATGCAGTCTTCATCGTGCTTCTAATCCAGCAAATGTTCCTTTATCAACTTTCTTGAGAAAAAGTGAGGCTTTCTCACCTCTGCACCTGCTCAACACTCAGTTCACTCACGCAAATCTGATGATGGCCAGGCACAGAAGTGACCAGAATTTATTTCTAAGAAGGAAAATACATAATCCGCTCATTTACTTATGCCCTACTTTAAAAAATTATTTATTTGCTTATATATATATATATATATTTTTTTTTAAATTGTTTTTAAGTGGAGTATGACTGTGTATATGTGTGTGTTTTGCCGTGACTACTGAACGAAAGCTGCAAAGTATGAAAGGAACAGTTTCAGACCATTTAACAATGATTATTTCTACTTTCAGAGTTATTCTACACTCTTTGTTTTAATGAGCACAGGACTCCTGAGGGAATTTAACTTTGAGTTTAACATTGCTGAGGGGTGTCAGCAGGAGTAATGTTATGTGCTCGGCTCCATGAACCTAACCCTGTGTTCAATATTATAGAGGGAAACCGAGGAGGATGTTAGTGACGTGGCAGCTTTGGCATGCCTCTCTGTCCCATCCAGACGAGGTGACAAACATTTTCCATTTATTCTGTTTCTTCTCATTAACTGAAATAACCACATTGCCTTTACTTTTGAGATAGAATCACTGCTACTTCTGTAAGTAAAATTGCCTCAAAATTCAATGTATCAGATGTATGAAATTCAATGTAAAATGTATGACATTTTCTTTGAGTTACAAAAAATTGCAAGCATAAAACAAGAACATGGTATTTATGTTACTTTTTAGTTGTATATTTTTTTATATACTCTTAAAATAAAAACTTTAAAAAATACTGTATTACATATTTGAAATTTGGTAAGAGAATAGGTCTTAAAAGTTCTCATCGCAAGAAAAAAATTCTGTATTTATGTTGTGATGTATGTAAACTAAAATATTTTGCAATATATACAATATCATTTTGCAATATACAGAATATATTTCATATATTGTTATATATTGTTATGTTGTATACCTGAAACTAATGTCATTATGTTGTATACCTGAAACTAATGTATGCCAATTATACGTCAATTAACAAACTTTAAGGAAAAAAACTTCATACGTTTAACAAATTAAATTTCTGCATATAAATTTTGATGGTATCATAACTTAATCAAATATTCATTCAGCTAAAATCACAAGTTTAATATACCGGATTTCTCTAAATGTTTTAAACACCTTGAAAAATAGACCAGCAATGATTATAATACTTATCAGCAAACTTCTTTCTTTTTTATGCTAGCATTTAAATTTTTTATTTATTTATTTTTTACTTTACAATAAAATTAAACAGTGAAGGGGATCAAAGTTTTGCTACCCTAAAATGTACCTTTTGGGAATTTTAAGCTTATTATTAAAAACAAAAGACTCAGAAAGAATCTTTGACCCATCCCCTTTATGCCTAACAGAATTTAGATAGAAAAGCCTGCTTTAGAAAGGGGACTTCAGCAAAATCACCTTTGTACATATGGATTAGCACATACATGACTAGAAGAAATCTAGCAAAGCCTATTTCCCTCTGTGTCTCATTGTGGGTGGCCCAGCAAAAATTTGTTTACCATGTGTTTCAGCATACTTCTTTACAAAAGTATTTGTGCAGTATATTTAGATATTTCTTAATTGTTTTTTTAAATATTCCTATTCTTTTCCGGATTTGCCTCTCAAATTCTCTAAGGTTAATGGTGAGAGTAGACAGTTTATGATTTAGCGCTTGAGTTGTAAGACTTAGTGTGCCTTCCAGGTGATTTACCTGAGTCCATCATTCAATTAGATGAGCTGTTTTTTGTAGTTACACTTTATCCATTGCCTCAGATCAATAATTGCTGAAATTATTGACTTTGGACCGTCAGATCTGTTTTGATATTTTTTGTGACCTAGTTTCCCCTGTGTATTCTATACAGTCTAGTTTCTAGTGTCTACTACAGTCTAGTTTCTATATATATTTAAAAATGAAAAGTAGTAATATAGTATCTTATGTTGTACATAAAATTTTGAAAATCTTTCATGTTAACGTGTCCCTTCTTATCTCTAGATAATTAAGTATTGTATCATTCAGAATGATTTAGATGCGAGTAATAGAAGACCTAACTTATAACCAAAAGACCAATTTTTTATTTGTTTGTTTACTTTCATTAAGCAGTAAGTCCAGAGGTAGGGGGGCTAGTTGCTGGTTTGGTTAATTCATTGACTCAGTGATGTCATCAGGGACTTGATGCTTTTTACCTTTCCTGTATAGTCTCAGTGTTTTGGCTTTTATTCTCAGATTTGTATTCTAATGGTCACAGGTTCAAGTATCATACCCATAGGAAAGAAGAGAAAACATCGCTTCCTTATGTCCCTTCTTAAGATCAAAGGAAAAACTTCCCAGAACCCTCTTCTTCAAATGTTCCCTTTCTTCACTTCTCATTGGCTAGAATCTCATGACATGTCCATTCTTAAACCAATCATTGGCAGAGGGAATGGAATTTCTATGGTTGGTTTATATTAGCCCAAATTCAGTACTCTGGGACCGGGGAAGGATTCGGCTCCTCTGAGGCACATGGTCTTCAAAAGCTAGAATTCTGTAAGTAATGAAGAAGGGAAATATGGAACATCCCTGTAGGGTCATCAATCATAATGTATGCCAAAAGAATGAGAACATTCATTTTATAAATGAAGAAACTGAGGCACACAGCTTTTAAGTGACTTGTTCCCAAATCTCAAAGAAAATCAGTGATAGTGCCAGATCTAGAATGTTAATAACTAGCCTTATGTTCTGGTGTTCTTTAGAAATTAGAACAAACATTGGAAATGTGTGGCAGACATTCTAGGGAATGCATAATATTCCTTTCTGCTGTTTGCGAGAGTCATTACCCTACCTTGCCAGCCCCATACCCAATGAGAGAGTTTTTATGACTGTTCTGGTGGTGCCAAGCAAACATCGTTATTATTAAAGTATCACACAGTGGAGGAGTTATTTTGGAAAGGTTAAATCAAACCTTGACAAATTGGTAGGATTTGGGCAGGTTGAGATAGAGAAGAGAATATGTTTGTTGCAGGAGAGGAAAGAACAAAGAGGGGGAATGAATGCAAGGCATGTTCTAAAAACCTTGAGTGTAACTTTTAGCTGGGGTGGAAAGAATATGAGCAGTGATGAGGGGGATGCCAGGAGATGCTGTGGTTAAATTGTGGAGAACCTTAAAGGTCTTCATCTTTTAGTCAGTTTTCACGTAAGTCATTTTGCAAGTTATTTTTCTTTAATAGTGGAATCTATGACTCTTTCTTTGGCACTTCCGTATAAAAGCATTTGATTACTTAAATACTTATTTTTCATTGAGCATAGTTTTTTAATGAAATACTTTACACATATTAAAGAGAATTATGTTTAGATAACAGTATAATGAATACTCATGTAACTTGAACCCATCTTAAATAAAGTGTTCTAACATATGTATGAAGACTCTTAAGATATTACTTTAAGTAATAGTCCTAAATATAGAAGAGGTAAATGTACTAAAATATTTCAAACCTAATAACAAGCCCCAAACTGAGAATTAGCCACATGTTCTGTAATAGAGGCATGGTTATGAAGAGATGTCCACTAGCTTTTTTTTTTTTTATTTTTATGTAACCATTATAGTTATACATACATTGAACTGTTAGCTCATTTTATAGGAATTATATCATTAATCCTCAAAACAGTTCTATGAAGTAGGTATCACTTTCCTCATTGTTTATTTTATCCTATTGTATGGTTGAGAAAAATGAGCAAAGTGATAATATACAGCTGATTAATACTCTATTGTATAGATATACCACAGACTGTTCATGCACCTATTGAGGGACATTTTAGTTGCTTCCAAGTTTTGGTGTTATGAATAAAACTGCTATAAACATTTATATGTTGATTTTTGTGTGGACGTATGTGTTTAATTCCTTTAGGTAAATGCGAAGGAAAGCAATTGCTGAATTGTATGGTAAACCTATGTTTAACTTAGGAAAAGAATGTAAAGCTATAATGTGGCTGTATTATTCTGTAGAGTTCTTGTTGCTCTGCATCCTTGATAGCATTTGGTGGTTTTGGTGGTTTGTATTTGAGCCTTTTTTAGTAGATGTGTAGTGGTATCACATTATTTTAATTATCTGTTACCTAATGACATGCAATGATGAGAATCTTTTCATATCCTTATTTGTAATATGTATATGTTTGTAGAGGTATCTGTTCAACTGTCTTGCTGATTTTTAAATTGAGTTGTTTATTTTCTTTTTGTTGAGTTTTAAGAGTTCTTCAGATATTTTGCATACAAGTTCTTTATCAGATATATGTTTTACAAATATTTTCTTCCAGTCTGTGGTTTGTCTTTTCTTCTCTTAATAATATCTTTCACAGAAGCAGAAGTTTTAATGAAGTCTAACTTATCAATATTTTTCTTCCATGGATTTTGCTTTTGGTGTTGTATCTAAGAAACCATTACCTAGGTTTTCTCCTATGTTACCTTCTAGAAGTTGTAGAGTTTTGCATTTTACATTTAAGCCTATGACCCATTTTGAGTTTATTTCTTTTTTTCACTGAACATAAAGGCTCTCCCATTTCACCCTCTGAACAATTCTGTGAAGTAGGCAATGGGAGGCAAGGCCTTATTCTTGCTGTTGCTGTTCGTTGAAAACACTATCTTTTCTCCATCAAATTGTCTTTTTTCCTTTGCCAAAGGTCACTTGATTATATTTATGAGTCTATTGCTGGCTCTCTATGTGTTCCATTGATCTTTTTGTCTGTTCTTTCAGCAGTACACTGTTTTGATCACTTACTTTATAGTAAGTCTTGATGTACCCAATGTTGGGAATGTTGAGAATATTAGCATGCCAGGAATTTTGAGTAAACTCATTTGTATCATTTGTTTTATATAGAGTATATATTATTGTAACTTTAAAAAATAAAATAAAAATTACTTATTGTAAAAAGTCTAATCTCTTTAATATATATAGACACAATGTGTTTGTTTTATTTTAAACATAAATGGCATAATATCTTAATGCTGTTCTCTCTCTTCATTCATGTGGCCGTGTCTATATCTACATGTCTGTATGATATTTAAGTCATTTGGTTTTTCACTGTTTAAATGATGATATGAGAAACATCTTTTCTTCTTTATTTGGTAAGGACTTCCTGCCTCAGACCTAGGATTCATCTCCCTTTTTAGTCTCTCTTCTGGCATAGGTCAGTCCTCTTCCAAGACTGCATTATTTCAACTGTCTTGCATCTTTAATCCCTCCCCTTGTCTTTGATCTTTCAATCCAAAACCAAGCTCTGACTCCCATCAAATAAGGCCCCTCTCTTTTAAGCCACTGTCTTGTGTAAATTTTAGGCTAGTCTATATTGCCTCCATTTCAGCCTTTCCCATTTACCAATAGTTCCTTGCTATCTGTATTTCACCTTAATCATTCTACCAAATCTATAAGATCCAAGGATGACATTGACCTTAGTTACCAAACAAGTGGGATTATTGTCCCTTTCTACCCCTCCAGGGTATTTTACTATGGAAGTTCTATCAAGGACTTCTTTGGCAAAGTCTCCTTAGTATCTTTCCCCTCCTGATCCCTAAGTGTGGATATTCCCAAGACTCACTTTTGTTCTTTCTCTTTATATTTTCTCTTGTGATAAGTTTGTAGTTTAAATTACTACTCCGATGCCACTGACAAGATGGATATTTCTAGCCCAGACACATCTCTTCAAGTTCAAATCTCACCCTGCAGCTTCCTGTCAGATG